CCGCGTGACTGCCACCTCCGGCCTCGGGAGCCACCTCCGGCCCCTCGGAGCTCGGGGCTGGCTTCTCCACCCCCACCCCGCCCCCACCCCAGACAAACTTTGCCACCCGGGCGCGGTCCACTCGGCTTCTCCGCAGAACGCCCGAGTTGCCCACGCCGGAGCAGGCACCTGAAGGAGAGGCAGGCGGCTGGGGGTGTTGGGGGGGAGGAGCCCCGTAGCTCATTCCCCTCCAAAAAAAGCAAGTGTGCCTTCCTCCCTCACGTTCTTTATCTTTGGGGCAGGAAGAACCAACTTACCTGGGGGGAAAGGCGGGTGGGAGGGATCGGGTTCAGATGTTTGAAATGAAAATTTGACGGGACCAAAGTTTTACAATCTAGGACTTTAACCTCCCTAGAATGAATACAGTTGAGATTACTTTTGTTGAATAGCTCTTTTATATTTGAAGGCCTTAGGGCTTGCTTGTTTGTGGTTCTTTCAAGTAAATACACTCAAGTAACAAAAAGTGTTGAGAAACTAGTTAACGCCCCTTTTACAAAGTAACAACCCGATGCACGTTCTTATAGCTGTCTTTGGAGGATAACGTTTTCTTCAAAGGGTGCATTTTAAACATTTGCTTTTAACATGTCACTCATTCAGGTGCATAGGTCTGCGAATAATCAGTTACACTTGTTTTTACTTAGGGACAGTTTCACTTTCTTTTCTGTAATCATTGAATCAAGACTACAGTAAGTATTTGGTTTGCAGAGGTTTAAGACTAATCATTCCGTTTACCTAAATATAATTAAAGTTCAAATGGCATCTTTTTAAAGTTTCTTAAAATGGAAATGTTACAAGAACTTGTAAACAATATAATACATTGTTTATGAAGAAGTCATGTATAAGTTTTTGTGTGTGTGTTGACTATTTCTTCAGTGTATGTGGAGTGACACAATGTTTAGTGATAATTGGTTTTTAAAATGAAAAAGAATAACATAGCCTAGTATTTACTCCCCATAAAAGACATAACCAAGTAAAAGTTCTTAGTCCTGCTCATTCATCCAACTTTGGTCCCTGTTCAGGTTGCTAGTCTTTTAAAATGGTCTCTTGTAACTTTGTGTGTCCTGAGAGGGTGTTAGGAAATGCTCAACTTTCATTAAGCAGTTCCTTTCACAGTCCTATTTTGAACACTAACCTTCAGAAGCTTTAGTAAGAATAAAGAACAGGAGCTACATGAATCCTGTCTGACACAGTATAGTTGGGTTTTAAGAAAGGTTATCTCTATAAGAGGCGGAGTTTAGTTTGATACCTGATAGTTTTAGGGTAAGATGTCATTGGCTGAATATCTAAATGAAGAATGATGAATGGATTTGGTTAGTCTTGCCAGAATCAAACCATAACATACTTATTGATGGCTAGAATTGTGTTTTCCTTAATCTTTTTCTTTTAAGCCTACTACCCCACCTTTCCTAGAATAATGATGTTTTATTTGGTTGGTTGTTAATCATTGGAAAGGTTGCTTATCCCAGGAAAATCGGGTTTTACTGTCATTAATGTTATTTTAGCTAAGGGTAGATTAGCCTTTCCTTATTGCTCAGTTTTGGCTTTCTTCCTTTAACTCTCCCTCCTGTTTCTTCTTTCCTTTCTTTCATCAATACACCTTTTATTTCTCTTGCCTGTAGGATGAGAAAAGTGTAAACTTTACTTGGATAATAGGTTCAATCTTTCTTGTGAATGAAGGTCATTTATCTTTACTTGATTAAATATTCAAATCAGATATAATTGACTTTCTATTTTTATGTAACTGTCCTCACATTGTACTTCACTTTAATTAAAAATTGTAAACAAGAAGGTTGAAGCTTTTAAGAAACAACCTTATATTGTGAACAGCAAGCACATGGTGACACTGTTCACTGAAGTGGCAAGTACATGAGGATTTTATTACCGTTTGTACTTTACAGTAGTGAATATCTAAAGGCCAAATTTTAGAGGTACTTCCTTAGTTCAGAGTTTTTAAAGGATTAAATGAGATGCCTTATAAGATCACTCAGCACAGGCCGGTGCTCAAAGCAAACAGTAGTTCCTTCCTGTTTGCATGCTTCCATTCATTTGTTGAACACAGTTTGGAAAGTTTTCCCCATGCCAGGTAGGGTGGAGTAAGTTTTTACTGCATGCTACTGTAGAAATCAGCAGAGGGCAGTTTTTAGGATGGGTTTCTGACTCAATCTTGGGGTGAAAAGTGTTGTCAAGGAAACCCTCTAGGATGGGTTTCTAATCCAGTCTTGGGATGAAAGGAATTGTCAGGGAAAGCGTCCTAGATGAGTGAGTGAATTCTAAACCTGAGGATTGAAAGTGTTAACTGGCCAGTGGCAGAAAGCTGGAAGAATAGCTTGCAGGAGCTCAGTGAGGACGGGGACTGAAAATGGACCCTATGGTGGGAGCGTTCAGCGACCAAAGTGTGCCAAGACCAGATACTGGGAAGAACCATAGGGAGGTCAGTGGAACGCCCCTAAAAGGTTTTCTTCAGGGCGTGACATGTAGATTTGGCTGCCTGGACCATTCTTAAAAGCACTGTGTTGACTAGGTGGTACAGTGGTTAGACAACCAACAGCCCAGCCGAGTTTCTTGGCCCTGGCTCTCTGTCCCGTCACTGACTAGTTTGAGTTGCTATTATTGCTTCATTCTGTAAACCTTGCAGATTTTGACTGATTGAAGGTTCATCATGAAAATTTAGCAAGTTAATATATATTCAGCAATTAATATGATACCCAGCACATAGAAGGAGTTCAAGTAGTAGATTTGAAAATAAGATTCATAGAGAATTCAATACACACATTTGTGTTCAAAGTTTGCTGTTAGTAAAGTCACAGGTTTCATTTAAGTTATAATCCATATATGTGGACTTCAGGAAATACATTTCATTGATAAGACTTTTCTGTAGCTATAGTTTTTCAAAACTTCAAATTTCATACAATGATATTTTAGACTTTGAGTTAAAAATCAAAGCTAGAGGCCGGGTGGTGGTGGTGCAGGCCTTTAATCCCAGCACTCAGGAGGCAGAGGCAGGCGGATCTCTGTGAGTTGAGGCCTGCCTGGTCACCAAAGTGAGTTCCAGGAAAGGCACAAAGCTACACAGAGAAACCCTGTCTCGAAAAACCAAAAAAAAAAAAAAAAAATCAAAGCTAGGCCAGGCAGCGGTGGAACAAACCTTTAATCCCAGTACTCAGGAGGCAGAGCCAGGTGGATCTCTGAGTTTGAGGCCAGCCTGGTCTACAGAGCAAGATCCAGGATAGGCACCACAACTACATGGAGAAACTGTGTCTTGGGGGAAAAAAAATCAAAGCTAAATATTCTCTTTATGTAATTAAGATTTTGCCCTGAGAAATGGTATATGAATCGAAAATGTAGTCAAGTATATTAAAAGTGTGGAATGTTCCTAGCTTAAAGCAGTAGAGATGAAAAAAAAATGTTCTTAGTTAAATATATATAATTGTGAATTGAGGTGCCTAATTATAAACTGAAAGATGATTTTGGGGATATGGTATAGGGTACACATTTTTGTTGTTGGTGCTGCTGCTTTTAAGACAGGGTCTTGTATTGAACTCTTGATCCCCTGCCTCCACCTCTCCAGTGCTGGGATCACCTGCATGCACCACTGTGCCAGTTTACTTTATGAAATATGGGAGTTGGAACCCAGGCTTCATGGATGCTAGGCAAGACCTTGACCAGCTGAGCTACATCTCTACCCCACTAATGTTTTATGTTTGGGTGATTTGTTTGAAGATAGTGTTAGAAATTTCCAAGCTGGCGAAGTAGAGCTCTTCTCACCCTTTGACAAACATACTTTTTGTCTTTGCAGGGTTGAAAAATGACCATAGTTGACAAAACTGAACCTTCAGACCCATCATCCTGTCAGAACCAGCCTGGCAGTTCTGAGGCGGTCTCACCTGAAGACATGGACACAGGCTCTGCCAGCTGGGGTGCCGTGTCTTCAATAAGTGATGTTTCAAATCATACACTTTCATTAGGGCCAGTGCCTGGTGCTGTAGTTTATTCTAATTCATCTGTACCTGATAAATCAAAACCATCACCACCAAAGGACCAAGGTATGACTGCAGAATTGCTGCGGGGACTCCTGTGCAAATGCTTCAGGAGGGCAGTGGTTTTCAAGTCTGGCACTATTTCATTTTCTTCTAATGAGCATTCATTCTTCATCCACCCACACCCCACTATTAACATGTATCACAAATAGGAGGATAGATTGAGTTTTAGTTATCAGGATATGGATTTTTTTTTAATTCCCAATTTATTGAAGGATAAACTTTATCTTGGCCTCACTCATTATATAGTCAAAGCTGGCCTTGATACTCTTGTCTTCCTGATTCTCTCATCTCTACCCCTGAATGCTGGGATGGCAGGCAGGGCAGGGGGTCAAACACAGGACTTTCTGTGCCTTCTAGGGAAGCATTCTGTTAACTGAGCTACATTCCCAGACCCTTTTTATGAAAAAGGATGAGAAAATAGAAAGACAGAATTCTAATGAACGCTCACATAGCCATCAGTCAACTTTGACATGGCCACTTAGTTGTACCTCCACCCACTGACTCCTTCTGCTGTGTGTGTGTGTGTGTATGTGTGTGTGTGTACATAAGCACACGTGCCTCGGGAGTTGTACTTAGTAGGCACACACACCTTGTCTTTCCCTGGTATTTTAGACAAGTCTAATATGCCACATTGTCTATAAGCATTTTAATATGTACATCTTAGAGAATTCTTTCATAAAAATAAAGAATGTCTGGGACTGGAGAGATGGTTCAGCAGTTAAATGTGCTGGCCCTTCTTGCAGAGGACCCTAGTTCACTTCCTAGCACCACTGTTACATGAGTCACTATTTGTGACTTCAAGTCCAGGGGGTCTTACACCCTCTGTGGTCTTCATGGGAACCGGTGCTTGTATGTGCTCACATGTGGGAACAGACACACACAAGTACAAATAAATTCAGTCAGTATTGTTTTTAATTAGTTTAAATGAAATCTACACATTAAGTGAATTTATATCTCTAAGATCCTTTCATTTGTATCCATCCCTTGTGTTTGAAAATGATTGAAGAAGCCTGATTAGAGGAGTTGATCTCACCTTAGATTCTGGACTTCAGTGTGGCTGTCTCCTCGGTGTTTGTGGCAGGCTGGTAATGAGGTAGAGGAGCTTGATCAGATCCAGGCATTGCTGTGTGTTTTGCTTGTGAAATGTGCAAAGCTTTGTTTTTAATTTTTTGTTCTCTCTTTTGTTTAAGTCCTAGGTGATGGCATTGCTCCTCCTCAAAAGGTTCTATTTCCATCTGAAAAGATTTGTCTTAAGTGGCAGCAAACTCATCGAGTTGGCGCTGGGCTCCAGAATTTGGGCAATACCTGTTTTGCCAATGCCGCATTGCAGTGTCTGACCTACACACCACCCCTCGCCAATTACATGTTATCCCATGAACACTCCAAGACATGTGAGTGCTGTGTACTCTTGTATGCATGTTTTCAGTGCAGTGGTTTGCTTTCTTGATGCTGTCTTCCTCAGAAATGAACATGAATTAGTGAAGTTACATGACCATTTGCTCAGTGGTAGTGTGTTCACTTAGCATGCACCAGGCCATTGGTTTAATCCTCAGCCTGCAACAACAACAACAACAACAACAACAACAAAAAACCAAGAAACCAAGTTACATGATTACTGGGGAGTTGGTTTGCTGATTTAAAAACCAGGATGAAGGTGGGCTATGGGGGGTGGGGCACGGACTCAGGGTTGGTGTTTGGGTTGCATAAGGAGCATTTCACACCTAATTTGATCTGTAAAATATTTTAAAAGAAGCTTATTTTGTCAGCACTTGACATTTCAACCCCCCCTAGTTTTTTGGGGGGTTGGGATGTCTCACTGTATAGCTCTGCCAGCCTTAAAATCAAGGCAGACATCCTCCTCAGCCTTCCAAGTGCTGGGGTTAGAGGTGTGAGCTGGCATTCTTGGTTTTAGATTTCTTTTAACTCAGTGGAAGCCCAGCTCAGAGTTGACTAGTGAAATTTGGAGTTGAAATCATTCAGTTCAGAGGTTTTTGACTGCTGCCCCCATCCCTCTCCACAGCTTTTCTGAGGTGTGATTGATTACAGTAAACACATACTTGAGATTCACAAGTTAATTGTGAGGTTGTGGCCACAGTTGCGTGCATCCTATCCTAAGGTTCCCAGTGCTCCTCTGCTCTGCCCACTTCCCTGCTGCGCCTGCTCCCTTCCTCTACCCTGGGCAACTCCTGATGCGCCTTTCACAGCAGATGAGTTTGATTTGTTTTCTAGGATGTTGCATAAATATGGAGTTATAAAGTATGTATTTTATTTTGCCTGACTTGGCATAATTAATTCAACGTTATTCTGTTGGTTGCATGTATCAGTGGTTTGTTTTTATTGCTGAATAGTATTCCACAAATAAGCATACCACTATTTGATTGGCTATTAAAAACCTGTTTTGCGCCATCACAAATTACACTGCTCCACACTTGGGAGGTGGAGGAAGGAGGATCAGGAGTTCAAGGTCATCCTTAGCTACAAAGTGAGTTCCAGCCAGTCTGGCCTACCTGGGACCCTGTCTCCAATAAATAAACAACAACAACAAAAATTTAAGCTGGTGCAAATATTTGCCAGTCTTTATAAAATAAGTATTTTATTTCTCTCGGGTAAGAATGAAATGGCTTCATCCTATGTTGGGCACATAACTTAAACAGTACAGAACTGTTTCCAAAGGGATTGTGATCTTTAAGTCCTGACCAGCAGGGATGAAGGTTCTGTTTGCACCATACATTTTCTAACACAGGATGTGAACAGGGCTTTTTTTTTTTTTTTTGGTATTGGGGCTTGAACCTAAGGTCTCATGCTTGCTAGGCAAATGCTTTATCACTCAGCTGTACCCTCAGCCCCAGTCTTCACCATCAAGACCATTAACCATCAGGGACATTTAGTAGTATCTTCTAATTGTTGGGACTTTTGTTTGCACTTCCCTAATTAGTAATGATGTTAAACATCTTCTGGGAAATCGAACTCTGGATACTTACTTTTCTGAAATGAAATACCTATTCTAATCTTTTTTTTTTTTTTCTTGAGATAGGATCTCCTAGCCCAGGCAGGCCCACACGGGCTGTACTACTAGTAGAGGATGTCCTTGAACTTGTGATCCTCCTGCCTCCTCCTGAGTGCTGAGATTCCAGGTGTATACCACCATGTCCTGTTTATAAAGTGCTGGGGATGGAGTATAGGGCTTCATGCCTGCTAGGCAAGCAGTCTGTCATGAGCTTACGTCTTTGGCTCCCCCTCACCCTTCTAAATCCTGCTTATCTGTAAACGAGCTAGTTTTACAGTTGTTGAATTTGGGGTTTTTTTTATTTTGGAAATGTTAGATTGAGACTTTTAAATGTTCTCACTGACAGGTGTCTCTTCATCTCAGTGTATTTTGGAAAGTTTATTTTTTATTGTCAGAATTTGTGTTCATTACTTTTTATTTTTTATCAGTTATATCTAAAATGTTCTGTTAAGAAGTCTTGAGCTGGCAGGATGACTCAGGGTCAGGTTGCTTGCCACCAGGCCTGACGGCCCGAATTTAATACCTGGGACTCCTATTGTGGAAGGAAAGAACCGACTCCCACAAATTGTCCTCTGCACTTTACACCCTGGCATGTGTGTCTAAACACATACAAACACAATAAATGTGATGTGAAATTCTTTACCTAGTCTTTATTTGGGCCAGTAATCCCTTTTTAGTTGATTTTTGTGTTGCCTGGAGATGGAACTTGGCCTCACACACGCTAAGCGTCTGCCTCTGTGCCACACAGGTCTCTGCTGCTGTAGTTGTTCACATGTTTGTGCTTAGAGAGCAGCCTTCTTCCACCAGACAGCCAGAGCCTTTGTCTTGCACTTCTGCTGCTGAATAGAGATCAGGCTTTGGGCACATTTCTTCTCTTGTCCTTAAACAGTCATGTAGACCTGTCACTCAGGCTCTTAGAGTAATGAATGAAAACTAATGATAGTAGCAAGCTCAGTGCATGCACATGGGAGCTGGCACTGTTGCTGCACCCTGGGCATCTGCCCTCATTTCCGGTCTATCTTCCTGTTGCATACTGTCACATTTTGCCCATTTGGATTCTTATCTTGCAGGCCACGCAGAAGGATTTTGTATGATGTGCATAATGCAAACACACATTACCCAGGCACTCAGCAACCCTGGGGACGTTATCAAGCCCATGTTCGTCATCAATGAAATGCGGCGTAAGTTTCAACTGCAGTAGCTCATGTCAGTATTCCATATCTAGTTATTTGTTATCATCCACATTGCCTCCTTTTCGTATTTTGAGATAAAGGCTCATGCTGTAGCCCAGGCTAGCCCCAAACTGATGGCACTCCTCCTGTATCATCCTCCCAAATGCCGAGGATGAAGGTGTACAACACTGTTCAGAGCTTGTATGCAGTTTTCTTACACACTTCATGCTTTTTGAGACAGGGTCCCAGCCTAGCCTTGAACTTGCTTATGTAGCCAAGGATGGCTCTGAACTCCTGATTTCCATATCCCAAGTACTAAAGCATAGGCATGTGCCATCACTCCCAGCTTATCAATGTGCTTTTTGTGCTATATCTTTTTATCATTTTAATTAGCCAAGTTGTAATAAAAATGAATACAAAACTCATTCAAGGTTCTAGCTGGGTAATTAGGTATATGGTTATCCCTTTGCCTAAAAAGCTGTTGAAAATAAGAGGTGATTTGGGTGTGGTATGCAAATACTTAGGATCCCAATACTTAGAAACTGAAGTCAGGAGGATCAGTAGTTCAAGGTCATCTTCAATTATATGGGGAGTTTAAGGCCCACCTGAGATCCATAAGACTCAGTCTCAAAAACCAAGTCATTCAGGGATTTTTCCAGGCACATAGTTCAAGGTGTAGCTTTTAAGGGTGTCACCATGGCACAGGGTATCTAATAATAAGGCCTTGTCTTTCTTCAAATCCTATAGGTATAGCTAGACACTTCCGTTTTGGAAACCAAGAAGACGCCCATGAATTTCTTCAGTACACAGTTGATGCCATGCAGAAAGCCTGTTTAAATGGCAGCAACAAGTAAGTGAGCAGAGTCAGCGCTGCTTCGTCAAGCCGTGCTCTCAGCCTGTCTCCTCGAAGGCACAAGATCTGTCTGCTGTACCTTCCCCTGATCTGCAGTCTTTTAAAATGACTGAACTGTAAGGAAATGGACTTACTGTACCCATTCGGATTTGTTGATCCTACATGCTGGGCAACAGTCTTGCTGCTGTTTAGTTTCCAGGTCTGAATCTAGCTGCTTTTCCTCTTTAGTCATGCCTGATGCTTTCCTTCTTCATCTTCAGACTCAGAAATTGCCCCCCGACACCCTCTTCGGGTATCAGTTCTGTAGCTTTTTAAAACCCAAATGCAGATCCAGGAAGACTAGAATGAAAGGTCACAACCCACCTTTGTGGTTGCAGATACCTGCACATGTCCCTCTGTGCTCTCATTATCTCAGGTCTCAAGGATGGGTCTGAGTGACCATTATGCTGAGCAGAGGAAGGTGCTCTGCTTTCAGCTCCCCTTGCTAGGCCTCAGCAAGGAAAGCAGCACAGCTCTGCAGAGAGCATCTTCTCAGTTCTCTGCCTCAAGTTCCATCCTAACAGGTCCTTCCCTCCTCTTACCAAGTCCTCCCGGTGGGCTAATCTCCAGCTGCCACACATTCTGACGTCATCATCGTTTGTGATTCTCCTTTGAATTCTTGTTCCTTTATAAACAGATGCTTTTAGAATCCGGCCACAGTACTTGCCGAGCTCTTCTCTCATGTCACTATCTGGATGTTTTTCAGATTAGACAGACACACCCAAGCTACCACCCTGGTCTGCCAGATATTTGGAGGCTACCTAAGATCTCGAGGTAAACTTTGTTTGAAGGTTCATCATAACATACACACTTAGGGTTTTAAAATGCGAACAGTAGGGGTGGAGTAATAATGAAAAGTAGATTTCAGGTCTGCCCAGACCTCTGCTTCTAGTATATTCTTCTGGTACGTGCTTATGCACAAACAAACTGGGAGCATACTGTGCATAAGCTCTTCATATTTCTCTTACTGCTAGAAAGCTTCCAGTTGGAAGTCAGAATTCAGTCTCATTTCCTGTTGAGGAATAAATGGGTTTCTGTTTTGATGGTATTAGTATCTGTGCACTATAGAGCATTCATAATCAGATACCTTCTTGTGTGCAAACACTTGTGCAGGGTGAAGTCTTCTAATTTCTGGATCATAAGATATCTAGAGGTTATAGAACTTTATATTTCAGCCAGTGGCTTATAGGGGCTAAGTTGATGGCACTTCTACCCACAGTGTGTAGGATTTACTTACAGGCTTTTTGCTCACTGTAGTAAAAGTTATACCTTTACATTCTTTATTTTGAAATGTATTCTGTCCTTTCAGTAGTTGGTAAGGCAAGAACTTACTTTTTTTTTTTTTTTTTTTATTTCAGTTAAATGTTTAAATTGCAAGGGTGTTTCAGATACCTTTGATCCATATCTGGACATAACATTGGAGATTAAGGTGAGCTTAGCAGTTAACGGTGGTGAAGTTAAACATCCTTTCGTAGCCTTTTTATGAATGTTCATATCAGTCAAACATAGATGGTGGTGGTTCTTAGAAATTTTAGCTAATTGAACTTTTCACACTCTTGTTTTTTGTTGTTTGGAACTTTTATTTTTCTGATTACAGATGCAGTTCTGTGCTTATTTAAACAAAGGAGAAATACTGTATAGAAGTACAAAACCTGCTTCTCAGAATCATTCTTGAGTGGTGTGATCTATACTGCTCTACAATAGCTTGCTTGCTTTTTAAAAAAGATTTAGAAACTTCAATGTCTGTGTATCTGTGAGTGTGTGTTGTGTGTGTGTGGATTCCAGCAGAGGCTAGAATGGGGCATTGGACCCCTGGAGCTGGAGTTATAGATGGTGCCAGCAGCCTGTGGGTGCTGGGAACTGAACTCTGGGTCTTTGGAAGAGCAGCAAGCACTCTTAACCTTGAACCATCTCTCAAGCCCAAAACTGCTTTCTGTTTATGAAGATAGGTTTATGATTATGCCTTAGCCTGTCTGCTGTTTTCATTTGATTCTGCTTGGAAGTATTGTTCTCTAGGCAATTTTATAGTGGGTCTAGAAAGTAGATATTCCATAGTTTACATGCCTGGTTCTTGTTGGTTTTATTTTTATGCTGGTGTAAGTCAAACTGCAATCTACTTTTGTTCTGTTTAATCTGCTTGTCTTTAAAGTGGGAGTAGGGCATAATTTCTTGTGTAGATGTATAAAAGTAGATACATCATGAACAGTAATAAAAAATTACATAAACATTTCCTGTTGCTTTTCTACCCAAAGGGTAGGAGTATATGTGTGTGCATTTGTCTGTTCATCTCAACCCCTGGCAGTGTGCATAAGTGACATGATGTTTATGCCCTTTCCTAGGCTGCTCAGAGTGTTACCAAGGCATTAGAGCAGTTCGTGAAGCCGGAACAGCTGGATGGAGAAAACGCCTACAAATGCAGCAAGTACGCCATGGGGACAGGTTCCCCCTGGGGGGTGCGGGGGGCTTTGATTCCCTGGGGTTGTTTCACGTTAGACACTGACTCGGTTTAAGGGCTTTTTAGGTGGTTGTCTTTTTCTCTGTTGTTTTTGCTTGGGGGACTGGGTGTGGAGTCCAGAGTCTCACATGTGCTAGGCAAGTTCCCTACCATGGAGCTGTATCCTAACCCAAGTTACCAGTTATTGTTTGGAATTGTCTTTTTAAAGGCAGAGTCTTTTATGTGGCCCAGCCTGCCCTTTGAATGTTAATCTTCCTGAACAATCAGATTACATATCTTTTATGTTGTTAGGCAATTCCTCCATTATTAATTATTATTAGTACTCTGTGTATGTGGGTGTTATGGAGGATTGAACCCGGGGCCTTGTCCATACTAGGCGACCCACACCCCCAGCCCTCCTGGAATTTCTAATTTTACTGTTTTGACTGAGATGTTTTGTTGTTGTTTTTATTTAGTTTCTTTTAAATATTAACTTAAGAGTATTTTAGGAAAATAAAAACAGACACTGAAGTATCTATACTAAGCGTCCCAACCTTTCCTTCCTGTGTGTTTCAAGGTGCAAAAAAATGGTTCCAGCTTCAAAGAGATTCACCATCCATAGGTCCTCTAATGTTCTCACCATTTCACTGAAGCGCTTTGCCAACTTCACTGGTGGAAAAATTGCTAAGGTACATACATGATTTGTGATTTTTTTTTTCATCACTGTACATTGAATTTCCCCTTTTCTTCCCAATGAATGATGAAAGTGGCTAAGATATAACACATGCTTGAGTCACTTAAAATAAGTCACGAGTGACATCTAGAGTCGTCCCTGTTACATCTTGTTGAAGATTCACAGTGTGGATCCTTCCTTATTTATGGCAAATAAAAACAATGGGATTACCCTTAACTCTCTTCTATTCCATGCATCGGCTTTCTGGGGTCAAGGGTTGTAGGTCCTGCAAGTCCCTTCCTCAAGCACCGTCCTTAGGTGTATGCCTGTAGCTGAACATGGGCCACCTGTGTCTTCAGAATGACGGCCCTAACTCTTCCCATTTATTTTTAGGATGTGAAATATCCCGAGTACCTTGATATTCGGCCCTATATGTCTCAGCCCAATGGGGAACCAATTATTTATGTTTTGTATGCTGTGCTGGTACACACTGGTTTTAACTGTCATGCTGGCCACTACTTTTGCTACATAAAGGTAAGCTGCTGGGTGGCTAGTAAGTCTGCTGTGGGACAGCACTGGATTCCTGGGGTCAACAGTGGGACTTTTACAGTGAGCTGTGATGGTCTATTTTTCTTAGGTGGTTTTTGACTGTGGTTCTTGACACCAGACTCAATCCAGCCTCTCTGGTTTCTTTGACAGGCTAGCAATGGCCTCTGGTATCAGATGAATGATTCCATCGTGTCCACCAGTGACATTAGATCGGTGCTTAACCAGCAAGCTTACGTGCTCTTCTACATCAGGTATTGACCGGAACACAAGTTGTCAGCTTTGCTGTTGTGTTGGTTTCTCTTCCCCCTCATCAACATACTTAATTTTGAGCTGCTTTTTAAAAACAGCAAGGTAAAGATGAATTGCCATCTGCCTGAGCATGAGGTCTTTCTGAGTGTAAGTTTGCTCTAGCTTCCTGCTCACTGACAAGCGTAGAAGGAGGGGACAGCAGCCCGAGGAGGCCATGGGAAGGAAGGGGGCTGTGTGCCCTTGTGCCCCCTCTCAGCCAGAATCTCCCCACCGTGAAGACAGGCCTCTAGTCAGGCACTGCCAGCACTCGGGCCCACTCTGTCTGCTGTCTTTGGAGAGATCTGATACAGGCTCCAAGTTGTCTCCTTTCCTTGTAAGGTGCCTGGGGTAGAACCCAGGGTCTCCAACACGCCAGCCAGGCCTTCTGTCGGCACATTCTCAGCCCCACAAAGTATCCCAAGTAGCCGAAAGTTAAGACTATCCCCAGATACTCAACCAGGACAGAATGATCATATCCACAGGTTGAGGTACTATACCAGTGTTAAGAGTAATTTGTTGGGGGAGATCAGGACTTCACTGTATAATGCAGAATGACCTTGATTTCTTGATCTTTCTGCTGAGAGTGATTTTCATAAAGCCTTTTTTAATTTTTCAATGCTCTGGGAAGGTGCTGAATGTATATGGAGGGGAAACAGTTTGAAATATTAAATGCAGGTACTGAGAAGAGCGGTATGGGCAAAAAGCCTGGGAGATAATCTGAATCAGAAGGGGAGATGTAGAGTCATTGACAGATGATATTACAGATTTTCTCTGATGGTGTATATTTATAATTGAAAACATAAACAGAAAAATAGTTTTTTAGAGAGCAGAACTATCAAAATAATACAGTTTAAAACATTTCTCTGATGGTGTATATTTATAATTGAAAACATAAACAGAAAAATAGTTTTTTAGAGAGCAGAACTATCAAAATAATACAGTTTAAAACATAATTAAGAGCCAGGCATGGAGGCTCATGCTCGTAATCTCAGTGCTCAGACTCGGGCAGGAGAATTGCCCCAAGTTTGAGGCCAGCCAAAACTACACAAGTGAGTTCCAAGCCATCCAGAGCTTTAGAATGAGACCATGTCTCCAAAACAATAGCAAAAAGACAAAAACTAACGATAACAAAAAATCCAAACTGAAACCAACATTTCTTGACCCAGTTGGTGCTGGGTGTGGTGGTGCACACCTTTAATCCCAAGAGGCAGAGGCCAGTGGATCTCTGTATGTTTGAGGTCAGGTAGCCAGGGCCATGTAATGTGTCTTGGGGGGGGGGGGGCGCTCATTGAATCAGTTCATTGTGTCCTGCCTCAGCACCCAGCACTGACAGCATAATGGAGGTGCTATGTGTAGCTCTGTCCATGAGACATGGAAGCTCCATTTCCCATTTCTGTCTGACAGGCTGAGTACTGTTGGGTTTGTAAATAAATCTTCTAGGGAGATGTCCTTCCTCATATAAGTAAGCTATTTCATTCTTTGTCCTCAGGTCACATGATGTGAAGAATGGAGGGGAACCCACTCATCCTACCCATAGTCCTGGCCAGTCCTCTCCCCGCCCAGGAATCAGTCAGCGGGTCGTCAACAACAAGCAGGCGGCACCAGGGTTTATTGGACCCCAGCTGCCTTCCCATGTCATGAAGGTAACGCTTCAGTCGGGAATGCATTTCTGCTTGAATCCCAAACCTGGTATCACTGCAGGAGTTGCCTCATCTGCTGACCTTGCTGCCTGAGGTCACTGTAGCCCTTGATTCCATAAAAGGCTCCAGGATGGGGGAGTAGTGATCCAGTGGCTGCTTAGGGAGTGTGTGGAAGGCCCCTCTTACTGTGCACGCCCACGCTTCTTGTGGGCTAGGTATTTGGGTCTTAATTAAAGTTGGACTCAGGGAAGTAAAACTCTTTCAGGAACACTTTGTTCATGTCTGTGGGTCATCTTAGGAGTGTGGCAGTGCGGAAGGAGTTTGCTTGTAAACAGATAACAGAATTGAACAGTATTTCCGCATAGGTCAAGCTTGTCAATTACCAAAACCAAAATGAGAAGGGCCCTAACCATTGTGTACTCTGTGTCTAGAGTCCTGACCCAACTGTTTGGTTCCTCCTTATAGAATACTCCACACTTGAATGGCACCTCACCGGTGAAAGATACGCCAAGTAGCTCCATGTCAAGCCCTAACGGAAACACCAGCGTCAATAGGGCGAGTCCTGTTAATGCTTCGACTTCTGTGCAAAGCTGGTCTGTCAGCAGGCCCTCCGTTATTCCAGAGCACCCCAAGAAACAAAAAATTACCATCAGTATTCACAACAAGTTGCCTGTTCGCCAGGGTCAGGCACAGCTGAATAACAACCTCCACGGCCCTTCTCTGGAGGCCCCTAGCAAGGCAGCCCCTTCCTCCACCGTCACTAACTCCTCTGCAATACAGTCTACCTCGAACGCACCCGTGACGTCCGTGTCTAATAAAGTAGCAAAATCAGTTTCCCCTAGTGAATCCTGTTCTAAGCCCATGGTGAACGGCAAGGCTAAGGTGAGCTCCAGCGTGCTGGTCCCCTACGGGGCTGAGTCCTCAGAAGAGTCTGATGAGGAGTCCAAGGGCCTGGCCAAGGAGAATGGTGTAGACCTGATGGCCAGCACTCCCTGTGCCAGGCCAGAAGCTGAAGACGAGGACGGTGAGGCTTCACCTCACGAGCTTCAAGAACCCGTCACGTTAAATGGTGCTAATAGCGCAGACAGCGACCTGAGAGAAAACGGCCTGGCCTTTGACAGTACCAGCTGCCAGGTCCAGCCCGATCTACACACAGAAAACCTCTTTTCCAAACTTAACGGTCTTCCTGGAAAGGTAAGCAGCAGGGAGGGAGGTCTCAAATCTCATAGCTCACTTAGCTGGGTGTCATTAGGCTGGAGCTGGCCACTGGAGCTGAAGTACTTTGTTTCATTGTAGGTGACCCCTGCTCCTTTACAGTCTGTTCCCGAAGACAGAATCCTTGAGACCTTCAAGCTTACAAACCAGGCAAAGGGCCCACTGGGTGAAGAGAGGTAGGAGTCATGTCAGTGAGTGTGCCAGTGTGAGTGAGCACACAGTGTGAGTGAGCACACAGTGTGCCTGAGCACACCAGATAGTGGAAGACTGGTATGATCATCTGGGGGTCTCGTTAGCTTACCTTTTAGAGTAAATACCAGCCTAGGAAGCCAGCAGTCACGTCCCCCTGATGGGTTCAGCTGACATTTCCTCCTGCACGCCCTCTTGCAGGTGTAGTGGTTGGTATTCCTGGAAACACTGGTTTTATTTTTGAGACGGGGACTCATGTTGTTGAGACTGACATCCAGTCCCCTATGTAGCTGAAAATGGCCTTGAATTCTCAATCCTCCTGCCACCACTGCCTCCCCCTCCTCCCCCTCTTCCCCCTCCTCCCCCCCCTCCTCTTCCTAAGGGCTGGGTTGTCAGGTGTGCACCATCACACCTGCTCTACGCAGTGCTGAGGGCAGAACCCAGGGTTTGTGCATGCTGGTGGACTACCAACTGCACCACACCCTTAGCCCCTAGATCTTGAGACAGGGCCTCACTGTGTAGTCCAGGCCTGGAACTTACTATGTAGATCAGGCTGCCTTCAAATTCTTGCCCAGTTTCCCAAATGGGCTTACAAATAAGTGTAGCCACCATTCCTGGCTACATTTAGCTCTTCAGATGAGTTAGATACTTAGCTGAAGGTGTGGAGTGTCTAGAACTGCAGAATTGTGAAAGCAGGAAGTAGTCCTGATGCATATTTCTTTTATACTTAATGAGGGAAAAGAAAAAACTTGGTTTCCAGGAATGATAAGCTTCCTACTGCATTTCATCAGATCTGCTTCAAGTACAGGCTGTTGAGTAGAGCTGGCTGGCAGTCAGTCCTGTGTGGCAGTCAGTCTAACTGTCGCTTTTTTGTTTCTTTGTTTTGATGGGGCTGTAGTTGGACTACAACAAGGGAAAGCCCCCCGAAAGACCCTGTTTCACAGCTGGAGCCCATCAGTGATGAGACTGGTCCCTTTGAGACACCGGAGGCAGTCACCAATGGGAGCATGAAGACCCCTACGACCATGTCACCCCTGGAACCTACCATCGACTGTACCAAAGAAGACTCCTCGATTGTTGTTTCAGCTAACCCTGTGGAAGCTCTGCCCTCCATCACTGCTCTTTGTAACACCACCGGTACTACCTTGGGGGATGGCCCACCGCCCGAATTGTGTGACCCTGATGACTTGACTACCAGCCCGAGCCAGCCAACCCAAGCAGTGAAAGGGGAGATAGCTGAGAACCCGCAGGACTCCACCGTGGCTGAAGCAGTGGAGAGGCTGAGCCCGGCTCCCTCAGTACTCACAGGCGATGGGGGTGAGCAGAAACTCTTCCTTTACCTCAGCACAGAGGGATCCGAGGAGGCGGAAGACTCTTCCAGAAGCTCAGGGATCTCTGCAGACACAGTGCCCCCTCAGCCTGACAGGACCACCAGCTCTTGTGAAGGGGCTGCCGAGCAGGTGACTGGGGACAGAGGTGATGGAAGCAAGGTGGGACCCAAAGTTCAAGAACCTTCCCCAGCCAAGGAGAAGATGAGCAGCCTCCGGAAAGTGGACCGAGGACACTACCGAAGCCGGAGAGAGCGTTCTTCTAGTGGGGAGCACGCGAGGGACGGCAGGGCCCGGGCGGAGGACCACCACCACAAGAAGCGGCGCTGCCACAGTCGAGAGCGGCCCACGCAGGAGCGCCGCCCTGCCAACCCACACTGCAATGGGGGCCAGCACCCGGGCCATGGCGACCGAGCCAGCCCTGAGCGCCGCTCCCTGAGCAGATACAGCCACCACCACTCACGGGTGAGGAACGGCCCAGAGCAGGACTGGAGCCGGTACCACCATTTGGAAAACGAGCATGCCTGGGTCAGGGAGAGATTCTACCCAGACAAGATGCGGTGGGACAAATGCAGGTATTACCACGACAGGTACACCCCGTACACGGCCCGAGAGTGGCGGCCTCTGCGTGGTCGTGAACATGAACGCACTGCCCAGCCTGGGCGTCCACACAAAGACAGCTACTGGGGCCGTAAGGGCTGGGAGCCGCAACCCCGGGGGAAGGAACGGCCCCACTTCCACAGCCCTCGAGAAGCCCCTGGCCTTGCCCTGCCCCTCGAGAGGCATCCCCAGGAGAAGGCTGTTCTGGACATGCAGGAAAGCAGCCACAGCCTCCCTGAGCGCTTTCATGAACACGAAAGTGTCAAGTCGAGGAAACGGAGGTATGAGACTCTAGAAAATGTTGACAGCCGCCTAGAAAAAAAAGCCCACAAAAATCTGGAGAAGGACACTTTGGAAGAGCCAAGGGTGAAGAAGCACAAAAAATCTAAAAAGAAAAAGAAGTCCAAAGATAAACATCGGGATCGAGACGGCAGGTGAGACCTGGAGAGGGGTCTAGTGGCTGGGCTTGGAGCGGCCAGAGCACTTGCCTGGCCAGCTCTGTCCTGATAACACCAAGCCAGAGGGTTGGGTCTTGCTCCACCAGTTTGTTTTTTTTTTTTAATCACTGGAGTTCACTGAGGTTTGATTATTTTACCCATCTCTAAAGTTTCACACAGCTTTTAAATTGTTGGTCCCTAACAACTCTCTCTGGCCTGACGTACGTCATCATATTTGTGTATCTGTTGTATTTTCTCCTCTGCTGCCTGCTTGCCCACTTGGAGGAGTGAGTTTAGGACACACCGATTTCTTTCTTTGGCTTTTGTCTCCTTTGTAGGCCACCATTTCTCATTTTGAAGTCTAAATGTTTTTGTATCTTTTTGAGGCCCAAGCTGGCCTCCAACTTAGATCCCCTGCCTTAGTATCCCCAGTGCTGGGATTTATGGGCTGTCACCGCACCTGATTGGTTTTGCATCACTTAGGAGCTTAACTGTTGGTGACAGTCTTAATTGATGTCTGAATTGTGAGCATGAATGCAATTCCTGTATCTTTTAGCTGACATCACTTAACATTAAAACTGGGGAAGATTGCCATAGCTATCTGTAAACAGGCAGCAGGTCACGGCTGCCTTCTATCCTGTCCTGGACATATGGCAGAATGTGCCAAGCCTGGCTAAGGCAAAGCAGTGCTGTGGACTGTGGTGTTGTAGTTGAAGACCTTGGGCTTAAACTTGTTTCCGTGAAAGGAAACAACACGTTGGCAGGAGGAATTTGCCCACAGGTGCACAGCCACTGTCCCGGGGGTGGAGTCCCAGGACTGCAGTGTTCCTTGGTGCTGAACTCTGCCTGCTTCTTCTGTAGGCACCAGCAAGAATCCGACTTTTTGGGAGCATACTCTGACACTGACCTCCATAGACACCGGAAGAAAAAGAAGAAAAAGAAAAGACATTCGAGGAAGTCAGAGGACTTGATGAAAGATGTTGAGATGCATTTACCGAAGTCTTCAAGCTATGAGGCTGTCGGCCATTTCCGGAGAACGGAAGGCACCTTTCTGCTGGCTGATGGCCTGCCTGTGGAAGACAGTGGCTCTCTCCGGGAGAAAACCAAGCATTTAAGGATGGAAAGCCGGCCTGACAGATGTCATCTGTCAGAGTATGGCCAGGGTAAGAAGATGGGGAATTACGGACACAGCTCTTTGAGTAACGAGTTTTGGGAAAGGTCATGAACACAGAAATGTAAGGGGCACAGAAGGGTGTAAGAGTGGACTCAGGATGCCCCAAAACAAGACCCTCCCGAGGAGCAGAGGTGTGGTTTGACCTCTGGCTGGGTGTGACCTCTGTTGAAGGCCTGAGTTGCATGGAGCTGGGCCGGGCATACCTGTGTGCTCAGACCCCTGGAACTCAGAGCGCCTATGTGTGTCACACAGAACTTTGGCTCTTCAGGTATTCTGTGCCTGTGTGTATATTTGTGTGCACTCACATGTACATCTGTGTGTGTGTGTGTGTGTGTGTATTGTGTTAACTTCTGAGTCCCTAAAGGCCCTAGCATACCCCAGTTCCTAAGCCATAACTCAGTAGTGTGGTTTCTAGAGATTTATCTATAATGTGGGGCTCTGGCATCCTCCAGGTTGCTGGTTTCTGAGGTGTTTTTACTGGATCTCTTCTCCCTAAATGATGGGTCCAGGCTAGCCCGGAACTCACAATCCCCCCTCATCCTCCTGAGTGCTAGGATTACAGACCAGTGCCAGTGTGCTTGGCTGCCCCTTTCTCTTCCTACCCTGTTTCTAATGCGCTTTTCCTCTAAATGGGAGCATTTGGCTTGTAAAAACTGTACAGGATATGAATGTCAGTAGGGCCAGAGCAGAGGCTGGCAAAGTGTAGCCCTGGGGCTACAGCTTAACCTGCAGTTCAGAACGGCTCTAACACTTGAAAGTACTTAGTGGCATTTGTTCAAGTGAGACACTGTGAAATCAGTAGACTGGCTGAAGCTCGTGTTTTGTGTTGTACTGTTTTGGTGCCACGCAGTAGAGCTAAGACATGGCCTGTCCCATTGAAAAGGTTTTCATCATCTGGTCCTTGATATAAAAAGCTTGTCAATTCTGCCCCCAGACACCCGAAGATTATGGTCACGAATAAAAGGCACGTGTGTTACTACAGAGATGTGTTAGTGACCCTGAGTGGAACCTTTGGCTTTTTAGCAGTCCACCCATACACTGCATCAGGCTACCCCAAACTGGTGGGTGGTTTGCAGCTAATGCCTCTGCACCCACACCTCTGCTGTGACCACTGGCCCTTTCTTACAAACTTCAGTTCTTCCTACAGCTCTCTGTAGGACTCTCAGCTCATTTCTTTGGGCTGAAATCTATCCGTCACATTAGAATGTACAGCAGTATGCTGGGGCAGAGACCTGGTCCTGGGGCGTGGCTCTAGAGCATCCTCTCTTGGTGTTCTTTGAAGCACTGCCAGCCAGTGTCTGCTTGCTCATCCTGTAGGAGTGATTTTTCAGCAGCTGACATCGAACTGCAGGAACTGATTGTAGTCAGTCCTCAGCTATACACACATTAAATTGTTTCCTCACTTTACCTTCCAGGTGATTAAAGCCTTGGCCTCATAACAAAAAACAAAAAAAAATTACGGTAAGCCATTCTCCTGTCTCTGTTTTGGTCATTTGTAGAAGTGCTGAGTGGATATAGTTGGGTTTATTCTGAAGAAAAGACTGGAGTCCTGGGGTCTGCGTCTCCAGCATACACTCAGCCACTAGCTAGCGTGTCCAGACATGGAAGTTGTGCTGAGAAGTGGGGTTAAGTATCTGAGAGCAGAGAGGAACCACACGGGTCAGGGCCATGTCCGGGGGGTCCTAACGCTGGTGTTTTATTATATGGCCCTGAGATACAGGAACGCATAGCCCACACTTGGTGAAGCAAAAAGGACTATGTCTGTCAGTCCAGTCTGCAAAGAGGGCTTTAAAATGAGCTGCTACAGAAGCTCAATTTGCGGCTAATTAGTGAAAGTGGAATCTGAGGCGATTAGCAGCTGTGGGGCCCAGCAGATGGCGCCTCCCTGGCTTCCCAACTACAGTTCAGGAAGGAACTCACTTTAGGAACTTTTCAAAGCCCTTGGGGAATCATCAGCCTCCCTTCAGCTAATGCTTGCACCTCTTTCTTTTCTTTCAGATTCAACATTTTCAACAGAAGCCATCCCCAACCCAGCTTAAATTATAAACATAGAAAATAACTTTGTCCAAACTGCGTGGTGCTTCTTTAGTAAATACTGTACAGACTTTACCATGGACAACTTTTTTTTTAAGTTTGTTTGTTTTTTTTTGTTTTTTTTTAGTTTTTACTTTTTCTTAATTGCCCTTATTCCAAACGGATACTTTGTACACTGCTGAACATTGTAAATTACCGTGTACATAAAAACCACACTGAAAATAATGCCCTGGAATAGACCATCTCAGATGCTGCTTAACTACAGACTCAGGTTGACTACTTGTATTTCATGTAATGTTCCTCCAAGCTAGACATCTGGTGCACGGCCAGCTGGGAACCATGGACTTCAAAAGGACAAACCCACAGTGCGTCTATTTAATTTAAAGACCCAAGCTCTCAACTAGACCTTCGAGGGCTTCCTCTGCAATGTCTGATACTAGAAACTAATTTGCTTCACATTTTAGTTGTATTCAAGATTTGAAGATGTATTTTATAGACAAGTTCTGTTTTTGAACTTTGTGGAACTATTCCAATCAATTTACCAGTTATGATGAGTATTTGCATTATGAATGTATAATCCAGACATTATTTGTAAAGCCTACAGTATGTTTTTATTACCTAACACTTTTTATACTGTGTCTTGTCTCGACAATATGATATTGGAGTCTGAGTCGTCAGCTTGATCCCTTCAAGTTTCTAGTTACAGACAAAAATCATACTGTGATTTTATTTTTAATATGGATATGCTATCAAACTGTGATACACTTATAATTCACTGGTCCTGCATCAGGAGACGGGAGTGGGGAAAAGACTGTATTTAATACAGTGTGTATCTGAATAATCTGTATGGTTTATACAGTTTGTGTTGTTCAGAGATGTCTAAAGTTGATCTTTGTTTTTTTAAGATTAAAAAAGCACTTGCCCCACTGTATATATGGCATGTAAAATTTATATAGTATATAAATGGCAGCAAATTGAACGACTCTGGCTCAATTTTACTCTGTTCTCCATAAACTCACAGCCATGTCTGTTTTAAAGAATTGAGTCTGAGGCAGTTGTGTCTTAGCAGTATGTTTTTATTTAGGGAACACAGTATTTGCAACAGTTCTGACAGCTGTAAGCCCTCCATTTTACTAGCTGTTTGCTTTGCAATAAAATAGCCAGAAGTTCTGATATCAACAGTAATAGGATATTTCTTCATGCAGGTTGTGGGAGTATGTACATTGTATAACAAACACTGCAGAAATTAATACATATGTACATTATTTACATACTATTTATTGTAAATAGAAATGTTTTCTAAGATAAAAAGAAAGAAATCACTTGTGGTTTCTGGTCTGTAACAGACCTAACTTGTCAGCAAAGCACAGCTGTAGCTCTGAAAATCAGTATGACACGAAGCACAGAGCTGCTGCATCTCCAACAGCCCCTAGGTAGACAGTGGGACCACGTCACTCAAGTGTTCTGACACCTCCAGGGCCAGTCTACCTACACCTGAAAATGACACCAGGGCCCAGCAGGACAGGAAACTGTCTTTGGCCAGAGTAGGGCTTAATGCTTCGATGATAAGTGCAGACAAAGGGCGTGAGTATGACCGAGCCTTTGCAAGCCCTGGAAGTGGCCAGATGCCCTTGGGGTTAATACTGTCACAACATAACCTGAGTTAGGTGACTCCATGTAGATACTCTGAGAGCCAGTAACTTAGGATTCTTAGCACCAACGGCCATCAGCCAACCAACAGCCATAAGGCAAAGTCCCCTCCCAAAGATGACTATGGCATTAAAGACACCATGAGGTGGCCTCATGCTTAACATCCTCAACATCCAACAAAGAGCGCTGTATTCCCAGGACCATACCTGGGTTGGACATGAGAAGGCAGATTCACCAGAGTCCTGACGGGAGGCATGTCAGTTCCCCACCTCCTGCCCCCCCAACACACACAGGTGCCCAATCAGCAGCAGGCTCTGGTCTGAGGTGGTGAAGGCTGTGGGGTAGGGATCATGGAAGACTGGAAGCCAAGCTGCATACACACCAGCCAGGCAGCTCAAACAAAGGTTTCAGGTTTGAGGTATTAGTAAAAGTAAAAGCCTAGAAGCATGGGAATAAACCAAAAAGTGATCAGTCTGGTACAGGAGGGAGTTTTGGCCTTGAGCACCATCCCCAAAATCTTATGTGACAGCTACCTCTGAGGCAAAGAGCCTCAAGACAGCCCACAGAAAGTCATGTCTAAGTGCATTTGGTTGAAGGTTTTCAAGGACCCTCGGGATGCAAGCTCCAGGTGTGTCTGTGCAGACAGAGCAGGCAAGCACTTTGGCAGAGAAGGCCATTTTCCAAACAAGCCACATGCAGCCTCAACAGGGTCCTCCAAATTATGAATGGGCTTCCCCAGAAGTGCACCAGAAAAGGCCCTACCACCTCACCCTGTCCCTGTCTCAGCCCACGCACACAGTACCCTGAAATCACACCCTGGTATATATAGGGTTCTATTGCCATAGGTTCCCCTAAGTGGCACCTTCAGCTTCTCCCTCTCCTCAGAAGGGGAAAATGTTGGAGAACTGGCACTACCAGAGGATAGTATGGCTGCTTATGCCTCGTCACTACATCAAAATATCGGCTCTAAGTACTATGTCAGTGAGCAGCACTTAACCAAAAGCTTGAAACAGCAAGCAACAAAAGTACCGAAGCCAACACAAGCCATGTGCAGGTGGACCACATGGAACTGTCATGTGTGAAGGTCAGACGACAGTTCCGTGTGGTGAACACGTCAACAGCCTGTTTCCAGGGAAAGGACTCTCCCAGGCTCGACACTGACAGGCTAAACATCCCGAGCCACAACCATATTTTAGTGATTCATCTCTACGGGAGTACAGGAGGGAGGTGGCAGTTAGCCACACCTGGAGTCTCTCAAGCATCCTGGTCTTCACGGTTACCCCAGTGCCTCATCACCCAGAGTGGCTGCCTGTGCCCTACCTGACACATCAGGCCCCAGCTGCTTCCACTCAAGCTTGGGGGCTGCATATATAGACTGTTTTCAGTGCACAGTATATACGTGTGTCCAGGAGTTAAGTTTATAGCTGCCATTCTAAAAATACTACTGTTAGAAATTAAGTATCTTTCATTATAATTTTCAGAATATAAAAAGGCATATAAAAGCTATAATCCTATATATCTGAGAAAAATTCTGGATAAAAAAATGGTAGGTTTTCCTTTCCCATTTTGATATAAAACAGCGACTTCTAGAACAGCTAGTGCTGCCCGAAAGAGCAGGTGTGGCGGCATGGTGTGGATGAGGCTCTGGCTCCAGAAAAGGAGTCCCCTGTGGGCTGTGCAGGTCCTGAGGCTGTGTCACCAGGTGCTGTTTTGACAAGGGTCCCCAAAGGTCAACGCCAGGACAGTAGCAGGAAGGAAACACTCACAGCTGACCAACATCCCCGAGGACAGCACAAGGCTTTGAGGGCTCAGGCCTTGGCTAGCTGTTCTGGAGGACCCGTGGGCAGCACACTGGCCTCGTCCTGCTGCCTGTGAGCAGCCGGTGCATCTGCTGTGGCGTCTGGGTCTCGGCATTTACCTATTTCTTATTGGCAATCCTCCTTTTCCTTGTGGCCAACATGTCATAGAATGGGTCCCTACTGATGCTTGCTCTGGGGAAGAAAGGAAGAAAAGTGGGTTGTGAATGCAGCAAGGCCTGGATGCCCAGGCCCACCACCCGACAAGCACACACAAAACAAGCAGCAGGTGTAGGTCTGGGGTGACCAGGCTAATCTGAGTTTCTGACAAAGGTCAATCCTGACACACTGAGGACAGGTTTCCGACATGCACATATGTGCACACAACACTCCTGCTTCCCACGGGACTGAGCAGCCTGGCTGTCCTCACTCACTTGATGGACTTCATCCACTCCTCCTTCTCCTCGGGGCTAGGGGCGGAGATCCGGTATACAACATGGTTCCCCTCCACCACACGGCCATCTGCCTCTGTCTTGCAGGCTTTGATGACCTGCCCTTTGTGACTGGGGTTGTACAGCTCAAAGCAGTTCTGGTAGAGAGAAGAGAGCCGTCACAGGGGCAGGGAGGAAAGGGAGGCTGCAAAGATCTGGAGTGGAAAGGTGCAGGCACAGGGAAACCTCATACCGGTTTCCGAGGGTCCTCCACCTCCCTGATGCTGAGGTTCTCCAGCGGGATGATCCCCCTGGGCTCCTTGTCCTAGAAGACAAATGTGTGAGGCAAGGCCTGGCAGACTGAGGCTCCCAGGACTCTGCAGAAGGAAATGCAGCCTCACTTACCGTAGTGTACTCAAAGTAGTAGAGGCAGTTATCTGTGAGGATGAACCAGCGCCGTTTCCAGGTCTTCACACGTCCCCCTAGGAGCAGAAGAGCCCCGTGAAGCAGGTGTTCATGCAGCTGGAGCCCAAGGGTCCAGAGAGGATCCCAGAATCCCCTTAGCACCACATCACTGCCCTGTCAAAGGATCCAAGCTCAAGACTGGGCTTCTTTCCTCTTCAAACCATCCCATACTAACCCCAGTTAGAAAGTCCAGGGCAAGCCATGAGGCCTGACCATCCAGGATGGCTGGGTGCAGGGCTGGGGCCCCCATGCACCCCCCACCCGAGGCCCACGCAGGTGCCCTCTCTCCATGGCCACCCAGGGTCACCCTAGGTCACACACACTTTCAAATCTGCTTCCTGGAAAAGTTAGTTGTAATGGATGAGCGTAATTTTCCCCCATGAAATGAACACGATGAAGTCAGTGCCAGCTCACCCAGGTCTGTCCAGGCTTAATCCCGTTACGTCAGGGCAGTTATCGCATTACTGGGACTTTGAGCAGCCCTGGGATCCATCAAAGTCAATTACTCTTGGCCCAGGGAATTATTAGATTGAATTAATCTTTTAACAAGATCTGGAGCACATGTGTACGTACACACACACACACACACACACACACACACACACACACACACACACACACAC